TGCTGATGAAACATAGGAAGGGTTAATGCTTTTCTTAAATGATAGAAGCACTGCGTTAGTGAATTACAAGGTTGCTCTGGACACAGTTTAGAACCTAATTGAATTTGAAATTCTAAATCCTTATCTGCGTCATAAATTCCATCTTTTAAATCATCGCTTGTTTGATGTAGATGATAAAAACGGGCAAATTCTTTATCGCAGTATTCATAACCAGCACTTGGGTCGCCTTGCTTATAAAAGGTGATAAAAGCACCGACAAGCTTGGAAAACTGAACGAATGACAGGAACACTAATGTCAGTTAAACCCTTAACTGTCTGTGATTGTGTAATATAAGTTGTATAGGTAATTGGTAATCCTTTGCCTTCTAACAAATGCTTAACATATTCATCATTTAAATTGTTGTCAAGGGTTAGAACATCACAAGCACAAAACACATTGTTAATCTCCCAATCAACGCTTGTATTTGTAGCAGCTCCTGCTGGTAAAGCGACGCTCGTTGTAAAGCGATTACGAAGGGTGGCATCAATTCCAGTATCACTTTCATCATAGTCATTAGGATTAAGTATACAATCAGTGGCGTTAGTAGCCAGTTCCAGTTCAATGGTTAAATTACCCATATATTTTAAGGGTAAGAACTTAAACTGACTGAATTGACAATTCGCGGCATTGACTTCATAAGCTAAAGCGGTGTCAGCGGTTTGATTAACTAATGTCAATTTTTCATCATCAAACCTATAACCGAAACCTTCATTGGCTTCGTCGCTTCTTGCCCCTTCACTCATCATTTTTGAAAACATATGATGAACTCGTCCATAATCATTGAAATCTTCTACTACTTGACTTCCCGCTAAAATTCTCATTCTTCTAAAAAACAATAAGGTGGTGATAAAGGACGCAGTTTTCTGTTATAAACACCAGTTTGAGGGTCAAGATTTTGTAAGTTAAAGAAAACACCAACTGATTGAGGGTCTAACCAACTATTATCTTCACCGTTTAATGAAATTTTAATTGCACGATTTCCAGATGTTGGTTTATAGATATTAGACCCTGACGGATAAAAGCGGACGCTTCTTCTGTCAGTTACATAACTTGAACCTTTGTTAAGCTTAAACGATAAATTATCCACAAGGACATCATCGGGACTAAAAGTTTCCATCTATATATAACTAATTTAGAAAATTCAATTAAATATAATTATTAATTAAATTTAATCAAATAATGTAAAATTATCTGGTTTTTCTTTATTAATATTTAGCTTTTTACTCTTAGCAATTTCCTTAACTGTGTCATTTCCCTCATTTTCTTCTATCAGTTTCCTTATCTCTTCATAAGAATTCTGTTTAAACTTCTTCTCCTTCTTTGGTTTCTCCATTTTCGCATAAGATGTTTCTTTGTAGTTACACATTAATATATTTTAGATTATTTAGTTAAACTGTTCCATAAATTATTCTCTTGTTATTGGTTCATTTCCCGCCTTGTTTTTGACATTAGCAATATCTTCGTAGGAGTGGTTAAACAATGGATTTAACGACCCTTTAGGAATAGTTATACTACCTGCCCCAAAACACTACAATCCCCACTATGGGGACCCCAAAAAACCTAATTTTGATAAAACCGCCAAATTCAACCTGGCCAGTCTGAAACATAGGGGTGCAGCAGTCGGTGTTAGATCTCATGCCAAGCCACCAAAAGCCATGATGCTGCTCTGGGTACCAGAGAGCATAAACAGGCCTTGGCTGTGAGACCATGCCTTCCTTCGGAAGAAAAGGTCAAGGTGTTCAACACTAGGCATCTATGCCCCACACCAGGAGAAGGATCCAGGGAGAGCGCATTTTGTGTGCCTGCCACAAGCTTCGTTCATGACTCATGACTTGTCTTCGACTGTAAGCAAGCCATCTGACGCTTCACTTGACGGATTCAAAAGCATGACTGGGTGACCGCCGCACAGGGCAATGCCCTATCTCCCCCTGCTGAGTCTCACCATGCTCCCTGCTGGAGTCTTGGGCCAAAAGATTTGCACAACAAGCATGAAATCGCAAGAGACGAACCTGAAAAACAAGACCACCTCACATACCAGAGTCTTCATTGGCCCAGGTGGCGTTGCTTATTAATTCCAGCCGTGTGTCACTTTTTTGCAAACATAAATGCCGCAAAACAAAGTTCACACTTCAACACCTCAACGCCTCAACGTACACGATAACGGCTTTAGATGTCCATGTTTGTTCGCACGTATCTTGTCAAAATTGATTTGGAGAAATCCTGTCGCTCCAGTGAAAATGCACAACCCCTTTCTCAATAGGTAACAAACTGCGGGGACAACGCACAGGAAATAGACTGCGGCCCTTGTCAGAGAGAGGTCCCCACACGTAGTTGTTTCTTTTCAAGTTGCCAGGGCTCTTCGCAGATCTACGGCGCCAAATACTTGCGTCAACAAAGCCGTCTATTCTCCAAGTTGAGAGCCGCTCACATTTCCAGTCTCCACGGTAATGACAAAGCTGGGAAAGTGTTGTTCAATGATTCCATGAGTGCAAAGATAGTGTAAGGCTCAGGCAACGCTTTTGCTTCTCTCCGCATTTCTGCTGTGTCGGAGAATTTTCAACGCCACTGCTCAAGTTTGGTGTCGCTAGTGCTCTTGAGATTTCAGCATCCCAGCCTCGGGTGCCGCCTGCGAACAGTGAGCCCCCACAGAAGCGCAATGTCGCGCCAACATCACGCGAGCGCGCGATTTTGAGGCAGACTGTGCAAATGCTCTGTGCTTGCGCACAGTTTCGGGCCAGAATGCAAGGATGCTTCACGCGACTGCGCACTTTCGCATAAAAGTGTGAGGATACTCCATGCGCGAGCACGATTTCCATGCTAAGATGCGAGGATGCTCCACACGTCAGCTCAATCTCAGTTCCGACTGTGTTGAAAGGACAGACTTCGAAGGCGCTGCTTTGGCGTTTCAAAAACGATCGGGGGTTTTGTGGGGCCGGGGCTTAACAGGCCGCCTGTTTGAAAAGCATAGACAACGATGAGAACATTAGAACATATGCCTTCTTGCTATGCCTTGGATCTGGCAATGATAAGATCACTATACTAATACTGACAACAATGCGAACTCTGGGAATGAGGCCAATGCAGATCAATAGCCACAATAAAAATGCTGCAGCAGTAATCCAACTAAAAGAGTCACGCCATTCAATAGCCTGATCTTTCTGAGACTACGGATGCTAGGAATACCAAGACCTTGTCTGAATGAATGGTATACTACTACTACTACTACTACTACTACTACGACTACGACCACAACAACTATCCGACAACACATGCCAAAACCAAATTTATATGAATCGCACGCTTGAAAACGTCTTATGAGAAACAAGTCCAGTATTTAATGTCTAGCAATAAGCACCACCGTCATATACTTCTCTGAGGCGAGAAATGCAATGGTGACTGTTGCAACTACGTTGCTACCAATGACAAGTCTGGCAATCGGAGTAGTAATGGTATTAATTAGGTGGACCCCCCACCCAGTAATAGTGACTATAGGGGATAATAGGGATTATATTAGGGTCCTCTTATATTCCCACTATACCACTATTGCAGGGTGGGGGGGCCCTCCTAAGGTATTAATTAGATGAAGGGAACGACCGCATAAATCAATGATCCTTGCTGCAGGAGCTAGGACCCGTGAGCTCGACTTCACAGCATCCTTCCCCGCATCCCACCCCGCACTACACATTCCCTAGTTTCCATTTCATGTTCCATGTTCTTTTCCATTGGATCCTCCATTTTTTGGCGATAAAATCCCCAAAATAACCCCTACATAACTCCTGCTTATCTTTTTGCGGCAATTTGCCATCTTCAGAGTCGCCCACGTTCAGATGTTCAGATTGACAGCTCCCAGGTCAACGATTCAGCCGGATCTGAGGTCCTTGGGGGAAGTCAGAAGCTTGACCTGGTCTCAAAAAGGCGTAATATGGGTATTTCACAAAATTAGGGGTACCCTTTTTGGTGGTCCCAATAAGAAGGACTATAGTATTTGGGGTCTACATTGGGGTCCCCTTATTTTGGGAAACTACCATATATTCCCGTATTCCCGATATTACGCCTTTACTACCCCTATGTAGTCCCCTTATAGCACTTTACTATACCCCTATATTCCACTGTTCCCTAGTAAGCCCCGGTAATCCTTTTGCTGAGGGCCGCGCTGCGTGGTGTTGGTGGCGTTGGTCGCATTTGTGGTATTCGGAGCCGCAGAGGTGTCTGCCTCTGCGGTCTTTACCTTCAATTGGCCTTTTCCACCTTTCCTGAGCTCAGCAAGCAAAGTACTATCTCAACCGCCTAAGCATGGCTTGCTTTTTGAAGCTGCTCAATGCATCTCACAGCAATTTCAGCCGCCGAGATCAAAAAATACAGATAAAAGGCTAAACCCTTAAACCCTGTACAGCTGAATGGTTGTCGAGATGCTTCTTCTTCCTTCCACGCAGGTCGACCCGCGGCAAGTCCAGATCCTCCTGGAGTGTCCACAAAAAAAAGCCGCCAAACTTCTAGATTTAAAGCACATCCAGCTCCGCGCGTTGCGACGATATTTCGAGGGCAGCATGCAGCTTATCAGATTGTGCTGCCATTCATGTGAAATGTTATGTCGATGCGTGGGTGCAAGGTTGAACCATGCCCTGGCTCGACGGGACTTCACTCGTTGTTGTGATGGCAGGTTGTATCCTGCTTCAAGGTGTGCAGCTCGTTCTTCAGCGATGCGAAGTCTGCAAGGAGTCTATCCTTGGGCAAAGCTACCATCAAGCTGCAGAGAGACTTGCCTGCATATCCAAAATTCGCCTAATGCGGTGCCTGCTCTGCAGCAGAGTGAGAGCACAACACTTCAGCTTCGGGGAACTCAGCATCGTGCCATGCGGTCTTGCTGCTGCTCCACGATCTGCTGCTGACCTGCACGAGGTGTTCTTGGCGAAGCGACGACCAGAAGCCATTTGTCACCGCTGCTGAACACAAAACCGCGATACGAAGGACGCGAAATTCAGAGGCGGCGCGTGTGCTGTACCTGCAAAATACGTAATTAATGATCGGACACGCCTTGCGCTGCTGCAGTCAGCAGGGCAATGAGGTCCTGCGGGCTCCAGGTTCCAGCTGAGGTCAAAAAGTGGCGATTTCCAAAACAAGACTCGAAGTACGGCGCAAGCCGTCCTGGTACATGACACCTTTTTGATCGTCGAAGGACTCACCACCTAAGTTCAAGCAGACATAACAGAAATTCATGGATTGATGAACAGAACCCAACTTCATCACTCCTCAGAGCTCTGGCGTGACCTCAACATTGAGGTCCAGGCGAGTTGTTCGCACAACTTGGGGCACGACGGACTCAAGGTCGTCGGCTGACAGGGAGTCAGAATTGCGCATGATGCCGAAGGGAGCGTGCTAATCCTTCAAGCGGTGTCTACTTCCTGGCCTATGAAGCCGAACCGCATGTACTTGGACTCGCTACCCTTCTTGAAGTAGTAGGAGACAGGGCGCAGCTGCCTCGTTGCAAGCACAACATCACCAAAAAGCGATCTGCTCTGGCAGTAGCCCTGACTACTTGACAGGAGAAGCTCAGGGTCGTTGCCGAAGCGTCCAAAGGGGCCCTGCTTCCATGCTCTCCTGTCAGATCGCAGGAGCACATGAGGGACTGCTCAGGATGCAGTAGTGAATCCAGCAAAGGCGGGCATCGCCTTCGGAGAGGTGGTCAAGCTTTTCGGGACACCCAGCGGCATGGGGGACATGCCCTGCTCCTGCCAAGTGATGACGAACATCAAGTTTGAAGCTGAGGTGGAAGTAGGCAGCACTAAGGGCCAGACTGGATCTTTCTGGACATCGCGCAGCGTGCGCTTTAGCGGCTTGATGTCGCGTTTCAAGCGGCGGTCGGACCTGGGAGAAATCGCAAAGCGAGTGGGCTCGTCCCATAGTTAAACCCTAAACCCTAAGACCTCCCGTCCCATGTTGTCTTTTCCGAGCCCCTGGCGCGATAGCGTTCTCGCTTGACCACGTGCCGTGCAGTGAGCCACCGCTTGCAGAGACGATCATCGACTGCAACGCGATTTTTCGTTTTTCGGAGAGCATAAAAATCTGACTCAGATGGCGCTTTAGCACAACATCTTATCAGTTCAAATGAGGCCGCTGATTCACAGTGTTTGCAGCATGTCACTCATAGGCGTCGGACCCTTGCGCCGCCCACATACCAGGTGACCGTGTTGGCTGTGTAGTACATGTACCTGTTGTACATACAGTCAAGCTTGGCACGGCATTGTTGATGTGCTCTGCGCGTAAATGCTCGTGCATGATGACTAGGCTCCCTACGTGTCAGTCGTGAACTCGACCTTGTTGGGTACCGCCGCAGTGCCGAGAACTGAGAGGGAGCCTGGGCACACAACCCAATCCGGCTAGGGTATTGGATCCGCGCACAGCAACTACGCTGAAGCATTTGATGATAAGCGAGAAGATCCTAGAAAAGATTGGTGCGCCTTACATGTTGCCCACACCTGGAGTCCCCTAGTCAGCTCGAGTCCCCGACCATGAAACATCCAAAGCCCGAAAACACGCCAGAAAAAAAAAGAAAAAAGCTTGAAGGCGCACAGGATGAAGCTATCCCATGAATTCGTGCTGAAAAGGATTGCACAACGGGCAGGGGCAGGCGAAGGCTGCTTGAGGGCGCCGCTTCCCAAACGAGCAAACGCTCTTGTCGACGAAGAGGAGCCCATGTGCATACAGTCAAAGGCCTGAGCAAGCTCTGCGCTGCAAGCTGCTTCATGAGCCTTTGGGAGTGATGAGCTAGCGGAGAATGGAAAAATGGCAACTACTATAGTATATTGGGTTACATTGGGATAATGGAAAATAAAATGGCAACTACTACAGTGATGGCAGAAACTGAGCCGTGCACAGAGACGCGCGATTCCGTTCGAGCCCTTGGCCCAATAAGTTGACAGAACTGGAGCCCTCCGACAGCGCTTCATGGCAAACCGTGCTGCGGCACGGTAGCTGAGCTTCAAGCACACCGGACAAAGAAACAGACGGGCCAGGTTGAGAGCCTCTGCAAAGCATGGCTTCAAGTGCTCCTGCTCAGCTCACCCTGCACTGAGCTGCCAGCAGCTTTGTATCAAAATTGGGAAACCCAAATGTGCGAAAGCGGAAGCTGGCATTGCCAGTCCCACTCGGGCGAAGCTCCTGGGACAGCGGGCACAAGCTGCAGAAGACTTGAGGAAAAAAAGCAACCCCAGCTGCTAAGATGCCCGAGTGCAGCCCAGCCACCGTGCCAACAAGACTGAACCCAGCTGGCAGCTGTAGAGGACCTGAGTTTTTCCAGGAATGATACAACAGATACAATACAGCAGGGAGTAGCAGGCGCTCCATCTACTGTTTCAAATGACCTTGAGCCGAGGGCTGGCAGGATGACAGCGTCGGCTGAACCAAGCCTCTCGCTTCGTATTCGCTGGAGCACGTGCAAGCATCAAGGCTAACTATCTGATAATGGCGACTCACGGCATTGGCCTGGCGCCAGCGAACGGTGGCGAGGAACTACCAGGCTGCGAAGGACCTTGGGCCAAGGCGTGAGCATGTCTCCAACCCCTGGAACCCATGACTGAAGTAGAGAAAGCGGCTTCGTAGCGGCGTGGAGGACTCTGTTGTGGAGAGCTGGAAGACCTGGCACAATCTTTTTAGGGGCAACAGAAACATGTTGGGGTACACAAGGCAGACAACCGTGCTGCACGATGCTAATTTGATGAGCCTGCCCGCAGCTTCAAAACCCTCAAGCTTAAACTATTAAACCCTAAACCCTAAGTAGTAGTTTCCATTTTCTTTTCCATTATCCCAAAATAACCCCAATATGTCCCCTATTATAATGCAGTATAGCCTCAATATAACCCTACTGAAACAGGTCCGTTGCACGGGAAGCGCCAACTCCAATCAGGCGAAGCTCCTGTGAGGTTGGCAAGCAGGGTAATATTGGGGTTATATAGGGGTTATATTGGGGTTATATTGGGGTTAGATAGGGGTTATATTGGGGTTCTATTGGGGTTATATAGGGGTTATATTGGGGTTCTGTTGGGGTTAGATAGGGGTTATATAGGGGTTATATTGGGGTTCTATAGGGGTTATATTGGGGTT